GCCCTGCCTGTCCCCCGGCCCCATATTTCCACCCCAGACCATGGTCAACCCAACTCCCACCCCAGCCCCGCCCCTAGCCCCAGACTCCCACCCCAGCCCCTCACCCAGTCTCAGTCTCCCAACCCAGCCCACTCTCACCCCCAGACTCCCACACCAGTTCCCACTTGCTGCTCGCTCCAGTCGGGGCCCCATGGGGCGAAGAGTCGGGATTAGGCTGGGCGGCTGGTCAGCGCATTCCAGGACTCTGGCGGACAAATGGGGGAGGGCCTTTCCCACACCCTGGTGATGCCCCCTGGCCTGAAGCCTTGGCTCCTATCAGGCTGAGGGGAGGGGGTCTGGCTGGGGCCCGTGGGGCAGCTTCCAGAGCAGGGGAGCAGGGCAGAGAAAGCCCCAGGCTTCGGTCTGCCGTGGGGCCTCAGGACTTTCTAGGGAGCCCAAGGCAGACCTAGACTGGGACCATGGAGCACCAAGGCTGCTGTGTGCGGTGAGTGTGCAGGTGTGACTGTGGTGCATGTGCAGGGGTGTGTGCGATGAGTGTGCGGGTGAACATGTGAGTGTGTGAGTGTATGTGTGGCAAGTGCAGGTGCAGGTGTGTGGTGAGCCTGTGGGCCAGTGTGAGACTGGCTGTCTGACCTGACCGCGTGTGCATGTGGGTGTGAGCCCTGTGCAGAGGGTCGTGTGTGATTGTGCGGCTCTGCCCACCAGCTCCAATGTGTCTCAAGGAGACCACATATATCTGGATCTCCATCTCCCTAGGTCCCCTTTCTCTTGTCCCTGTGTGTCCCCTCCTGTCCCCATCCTCCATCCCTTTGTGTCCCATTCCCCCATCCCTGTGTCCCCTGTTGTCCCCTATTCATGTGTGTCCCATCCTCCATCCCTGTGTGTCCCTTCCCATCTCCTATCCCTGTGTCCCCTCCCATCCCCCATCCCTGTGTGTCCCATCCCGTATCCCTGTGTGTTCCATCTCATCCCCCGACTCTGCATGTCCCACCCCCATCTCTGTGTGTCCCATCCCCATCCCATTCTGTCCCTTCTCATCCCCCATCCCTATGTGTCCCCTCCCATCCCCCATCCCTGTGCCCCTCCTGCCCCCATCCCTGTGTGTCCCCTCCTGCCCCATCCTCGTGTGTCCCTTGCTGTCTCCCATTCCCATCTGTCCTCCTGCTCAATCTTCACTCCAAGCCCCTGGCCAAGCTGACCCGTGTCTCGCCTGGCCTCCTGGGCTCCTGCTGCCCAATAATGTGCATGGGCAGTTTTGGTAGGAGTTAGGGCTGCTGAGGCTGGATGGGGACATGCAGATGGCCCTGACTGTCCCCCTACCCGCTGGGCAGTGCAAGGCAGTGCAGAGGCTGCTGCCTCTACATGCTCCTGTCTCCCACTTGGCACAGGGTAGGGCTGATGTGGCCCTGCAGGGGGCAGCCCCGGGCAGCAAGGCTGCCAGCCTGCTCCTGCCACAGCCACCTCCCCCTGCGGCCTGGCTGCCCTGGGGCCCATGGGCGGCAGATCCCTCAGAGCCCCAGAGGCGCACAGAGTGAAGTCCCTGGCCACAGTGCACCAGCAGGAAGGTAAAGGCAGCTCTTTCTCCTTCACCCCTGTCCTGTTTCCTGACCAGAGGGTTCTAGACCTGAGCAGTCCTGACTTGAGCCCCTGATGAGGACAGAAAGCCTAGACTCTGGGTCAGTGTTGGCCAGGGCCTAGGGCTGGGGCAGGGCCGTGAAGTAGGAGTCTGGAACAGTCTTCCATTCAGCTGTTGGCCCAGGTCCTTGTCCACTCAATCTCTGTCTTGTCTCCTCGCTTTGGGGTCAGCTGGTGGAAGGGTCAGCTTGTCGAGTCTTGGGAACAGCTGCCTAGAGTCCCTTCTGGGTGTAAGGGGCTTATGCATGGGCTCAGCCCCAGTGGCTTGCTCACTGGAAGCAAGCCCAGTGCTGCTGCCTGGGGTAAGGAGGCCTGAGACTCCTCTTTTGTGCTGACACATCCCTCTCGGAGCCTCAGTCTCCCCATCTGGGCCATGGGAGGTTGTGTTACAAGAAAGCCTATGAGGCGGTCAGGGTGTGTGCTTGGCCTGCTTCTGCCCAGCCTGGGTCCCTACAGCTCTCAGAAAGCTGGGTGTCCCGTGGCAGGCTGTGGGCCTTCTGGGCCTCCTCCCATGGCCACGCATGGACCTGACCTGAGTGTAGACCGGTGATCTCACCCCATCTGACTGTGACTTGTGTAACCTCCCACATGGGGTGGGAGCTCCAGAGCTCTCAGAGATTCGGTCAAGGGCCCAGGGTCCAGAAGCAGGCTGGAGGACAGAGACTGGGTGCTAGTTCCTGGGTGCATGGCCAGGGGCCCAGAAGCAAACAGACCTGCTGCCCAGGCACCACCCCACCTCCTGTCCCACTGCACACCCACCCGGATGTGCGGTTTTGCCTCAGGCTGTTGACTTTTGCAGGCTCCAAGGAGGCAGCAGCGTCTCCACCCAGCTCCCGCTGAGGATCTTCACCAGGATGGGGTCCTAGTCTGGCAGCCCGCTCTCCGCCCTAGGCTCCCAACCCTAGGTCATGCCCATCCATTGCAGAGCCTGCACTCAGAGATGCGAGAGATCAATCCTGTCCCAGAGCCTAACAACTAGCCTGCCAAGCACTTACCCTTTAATTCACATCTCTCACCTTTCCTGCAGCCACAGCACTGTGAGGGTGGTACTGTTAACCCTGGTACAGAGAAGGATATAAGGCACAGAGAAGTTAAGCGACTTGCCCAAGGTCACACAGCTAGAGGATTTGAACCTAGTAGGCTTCCCCAGAGTTGTTCTCTTTTTTTTTTTTTTTTTTTTTTTTTTTTAAGGTTTTTGCCGTAAGGCGTGTGCACTTGCCAGAGAGGGACAGAGAGAAGGAAAGTGAGAAATCACCCCTTAGGAGGGTAGCCACGCCGCAATTTCTTCTCCTCCATTCTTCTCAAGATTCTGGGAATGCACACACACATGCCTGGTGTGATTTTCAAACCGCGGGTCTGGGATGTGAACCATGGTCGGTTATGTAGGAATTCAGTGCCTTAACCACCATGCCACCTGCTGGCCTCAGAATCCATTCTCTTAAACACCATGCTAGACTTTCTTCTAGAAACAGAGCCCCTCAGTAGATCTGGACAGGGAGTTATCAAGGTTGGCTTCCTGGAAGAATGGGCAACAAATTGTGTCTAGAAGAATGAGTAGGAATTACGGTTGGCCCCATAGTGCAGTAGTTAGGCCCTGTGCATGGGAATCTGGATCCCAGGCCAGCAGATGACTTAGAGGTTAAGGTAGCTGGATCCCACACGGGCAATTGTATGGTTCAAGTTCCAGACTTGGGAAATACGCCAGGTGTATGTGCATATGTGCCGAGCCACCACCTGTCCACCAACACTTACTGTCCCAGATCCCATTCTTTCCAGGTTCAGTCCCTCACAGAACCTTCTTGGGTCTCCTTCTTCTGAACCTTATTCTCTCACACAGGACAGAGGTTATTTTCAACCCAAACCATTAACTGAGGCCCTACTGTGTGCTGGGAGAAACCTAAGACCCTTTGAGGTCTGTGGGAGAGGAGCAGGTCCGGACCTGGTGCATGTGGACCTTTTGCTTCCCAACTTCCCAGACCTGAGAAGCAACTGGCACATAGTAGGTGCTCAGCCGTGACCCTTTGTCCCTGATCTGAGACGGAGGAGGCCCCCCAGCACGGGAAGGGCCAAGCTAGAATGAATGCAGAGCTCCCTGCTTACCTTGGCTCAGACAGTTACCGATGACTGTCAGTGCCTGCTGTGTGCTTCGGGCTGCGCCAGGCCTCCTCGCCCATGGCTCTGTGAGTGGATTAGCATCCCACAGCCCTGCTCGGGGAAAGCAACAGCTGCCCATTCATTCATTCACTCAGCAAGTATTTGTTGAACACCTACTGGAAGCCCTGTGTTGTGGTGAACAAGATGGAAATAGTCCTTGCCCTCACAGAACTTCTGGCCTCTGGGGGTGGGGTCAGACACTAAATGGCAAAATTCAGCATCACATTATTCCATTATTATCGGATCGTTGGGAAAATCATAAAGCATTTTTGGATAGGAAAACAGAAAAATATGTCAACACTTTCCCAGCGACCCAGTATTATAATAAAAGCTCTGAAGAGGGGCCGGCAGGTGGCATGGTGGTTAAGGGTGCTGGACTCCCACATGGCTGGCCACAGTTCAAGTCCCAAATCTGGCAGCTTGCTTCTTGCTTTCCCTCTCTCTATCTCACTCTGTCCTTCTCTGGTCAAATTAAAATGAAAAGAAATAGGGGGACCAGCAGTTAGCATAC